CCTTAATTAGGTCAAAGAGCTTAGAATGACCAAGAGGCGACACTCAATAGAACGTTCCATTGCAACAGCAGCGCCCAGCAACAGCCCCGGATTCCGCCATTTTGGAGTGAAAGTGGTCGGCCATCCATTGGATCTCATTACTGTCGCGATGGCAAGCAGCTGCTTTGTTTTTTATTTATTTATTTAAAAAGCGCATTAAAGCTGAGATACAACCTGAAAGACGACAATACAACACTTACTATCACAATCCTCAGCACTTTTAATAGTTTATTTAACAGACTTATAATATACTGTTGTTCTATTGGAGTTTTCATTCCAAAATGGCCGCCTCTAGTGGCTGTTTTCCCAAATTACACCAGAGTGTTGCCTCTTGGTCATTCTAAGCTCTTTGATTAGGTTCAAAAAACACAAAGTATAGCCTACAGTCAGTGAAAACCTCTCATCTGTGACCGTAATCTTCAGCAGTACATGTAGCCTCTGTTAGAGAGTCATTCCATCATTCCTAGTTCATATTAGTCCAAAAGGTGGTGATAAAAATTAAAACAAGGCAGTTTGTTCACATTTGCTGAAGAAATACCGTGCTCCTTGGCTTCCCCTTTTTTCCACGCTTCACTCTCGCGTTTGTCCTTTTCTTTCTGAATGTGTCACTCTCGCGTTTGTAATCTCTCGCTGTGTATTTCAAACATGGCGGGTCTTTTGTTTACATTCTGGCTTGTTGCCTAAGCCAATGACGTATCTCTGTAAACCAATAGCGTTCAGCTGCGCGTCTGGCTCTGCCTTTTGGTACCCTTTCTTGTGTTTGGGACCCTTTCGAAAGGGTGCCGAAAAAGTGGTACGGTATGGTTTGGTTCGGTACGCCTTTTAACAGTGGAAACGGACATATAAGCATACCGAACCGTACCGTACCACTCAGTGGAAATGAGCCATTAATAGTTGTGTAAATTGCGTCTGCTAAATGACTAAATGTAAATGTAAATATTTACTGTTGCACGAAAGTCCTAAAGTGAAGAATTGATGTTATTTATTACCTGATTGTTGAAGCTCCCTCACAGAGGTGCTCTGTTTGTTAATACAGTTATTAAATGTTAAAATAAGGTAAATTAAATAAAAATTAGGAAACATCCTGGATCTGTTTCTTCGCTTTTCTTTATTCTTTTTTATGTATTATAAAAGTATCGGATTGAGTTTTGGTATTGGTAGATACTCAAAATCAAATGACTCGGACTTGGATCTGAGGGCAAAAAACTTGATCGGGACATCCCTAGCTCGAGTATTCTGATAACTAGTGGTTTAGACGCACATTTACACCTGTATCGAGGAGTGTGTGATCAGATTACCTGAGACAGATGTTAATAGCGGGTGTGACACACACCAAAGAGCCACAGCCGACACCAAACCTCAAACTGACACATCTAGCCCAATCATTCTCAGTGGCAGGAGCTATAATGACCCTCACACACATACACACACACACACACACACACACACACACACACACACACACACTGAGCCCCCAGGCTTCAGACATCAGACGGTCCCACCGCCGAGTGCTAGCACACTAATCCAATGACACGCCACATTACATGCCTACTCCTGCCATAGAAACAGAGCTTTCTCTGTGCGTTTGCTTGAGCGTGTGCGTGTGTGTAATCGAGTACTAGAATAGAGCACTTCAGTAGCTGGTCACAGTATTTCTAAGGTAACCTTAGGTCAAACTACACTGCTAACTGGGAAAAAACTAAAAGTTTAGCTGGTTGTATGTTTAGTTGGTTTGTGGAGAAAGCTTTGAGGAAAAGAAGGTATTTAGTAAGTAATAATATGACATATTACCTCACAGTTTAAACTTAATCTATATCCATATTCATATCTGTGTCAGCAAATGGTTACTAATAGTTGAAGTTTTTTTTCCGTGATTCTATATCAAATATCCAATACAGCACAGTAACATCATTTTATTGAATATATATCTAGATATACTGTATTTCTACATTTATAGGTATGGATTTGAGTGAAATGTTAATATACTTTTTTTGATAACTTTTTAGCTCTGATAACATTTCATTTAGAGGATTTTACGTGCGTGCATGCATTGTGTGTGTAGAGAGAAAAATTCTAGATAAAATATTTCAGAAGATTTTGTGTACTATATAAATATCATATGTTATATTATACAATATATTATATTATTATATTATATTATATTATATTATATTATATTATATTATATTATATTATATTATATTATATTATATTATATTAAATTATATTATATTATATTGTACAATATTATATTATATTATTATATACTATATAATATTACATTTTGTTATACAATATTATATATTATATTATATTATATTATATTATATTATATTATATTATATTATATTATATTATATTATATTATATTATATTACATTATACTATATTTTATTATATTATATTGTACAATGTTATATTATATTATTATATACTATATAATATTACACTTTTTATACATTATTATATATTATATTTTATTATATTATATTGTACAATATTATATTATTTTATTATATACTATATAATAATACATTTTGTTATGCAATATTATATTATATTATATTATATTATATTATATTATATTATATTATATTATATTATATTATATTATATTATATTATACAATATTATATTATTATATACTATATAATATTACATTTTGTTATACAATATTATATATTTTATTATATTATATTATATTATATTATATTATATTATATTATATTATATTATATTATATTATATTATATTGTACAATATTATATTATATTGTTATATTTCCAGATCACTACCAAAGCAATAAACCACATTTAGAGTTTTCCGTCATATAATAAAGTAAGAAGAACTCTCACATGCTGTAAAAATCAATAATTGATAAATCCTGTAAAATCCACACAACTACTTAAATACATATTGAAGTGTGTATGTATGTATGTGTGTGTTTGCATGTGTCTCTGAGTTTGACCTTTTAGACTGCCGTGACCTCTGTAACTACAAGGCTTTGCACTGAACAATCTACACTTTGACCTTTCAACTGCTAGGCCACAAGCAGACACATGCGGAAATGACCCAGACCGGGCTTTAAACACATGGAGGAAAGCAAACATTATGACTGAGACTGAGAGAAATTAGCTGTTAGAAAGACTGTGAGAGTGATCGGTTGTGTTGTTCGTGCAGTTGCTTAGTGAGTGAGCACATGCTATACTGATTACATTATCGTGTGCAGCTCAAATATGCATGAAATTGGTTGATTGATATTATCTAATGTTTGATAAGAAAATGGCCTGTTTACAGTACTGGTCCAAATAAAGAAGCCTACTCTGCTCACCAAGGCTGCATTTATTTGACTAAATATACTGTAAAAACAAAAAAATAAATAAAAATAAAAAACTGTTTTTACAATTTTTTTCTTTTATTGCATGAAGTTTAGAATTTAAATAAGTCGCATAATTGTCAACATCAATACGCCAATATTCAGTGTTACATGATCCTCAAATGATTATAATATACTGTTCAGCTAAATTAAATTGTGCCTGTTACTCAATTTTTTGTGTTTGTAGAAACTTTTTTTACGTTTTAAATGTTTTACTTTCACTTTTTAACTTGATTAATAAAAGTAAACATATTTTAATGTTACTTCTGAATGGTACAGCTTTTTTTAAGCTGCAGCTCATTATATTCCAATAATTTTGAAAGGATTGTTGGAGCCAAGATTCTGCTTTAAATTACAGAAATAAATTTTATTTTAAACAACATTTGATAAAACAATAGCTATTTTAAATTATTTGTAGTAATATTACTCAATTTTACAGTATTTACTGTGTTTTTGATCAAATAAATGCAGCCTTGGTAAGCTTCTTTTAAAAGCATTAAAGAAGCTTGCTGTTCCCACATGATGTTTAAGAGAGCTAAGAATTTTTCACAGTATGTCTGATAATATTATTTTCTTCTGGAGAAAGTCTTTTTTGTTTTATTTCGGCTAGAATAAAAGCAGTTTTAAATTTTTTAAAAAACATTTTATGGTCAATATTGAAGAAATGAAAATTATCAGATGCATTGGTTTATTTGGCAAAACATGTCTTTTTCACCAAGAAGGTCCATACTGATTCTATAGGCAGATACGCTTTACCAACAGTCAGAGAAAGAGAGGGGAAAACTAGATAAACATGTCACAGTTTAGCTAAATTAATTCAAGCCTCCTCCTGACGTGACGTGTGATGCATTAAAACATTGTTTTCCAGCTGCGCTTCATTCTCGAAATGTATAGTTTGTCTAAAGCAGGGATACAATCGGTCAGCGCAGTTGTCCTTCCATAGTAAAATGTGACATTTTGTGTCTGCCGGTTTATTTATTTACGGGAGTTCATTGGCATTTTCCTGCATGTGAATTCAGACAAACTGATAAGCAGTTTAGGAACGTTCAATGAATGTTCAATAACATCTGGCCAATGAGTGATGTGGATTTTGTCAGATGACTGCATTTTGGTTCTATCCAACTGGTTCGGACCAAAACCAGCAGTGTGTTGTAAAAACAATTTAAAGACGGCAGAAAATGCAACAATGTATCATTTATTGCCCTTGTTCCGGACCAAATAAAGCGAACTATAGATGTGAAAGCACCCTTAAAAGCTTAACTGGGTTTTTAGGTTAACTTGGCAGGTTAGGGTAATTAGGCAAGTTATTGTATAATGATGGTTTGTTCTGTAGACCGCGAAAAAAAATGCTTAAAGGGGCTATTAATTTTGTCCTTAAAATGGTGTTTAAAAAATTAAAAACTGCTTTCATTCTATCCGAAATAAAACAAATAAGACTTTCTCCAGAAGAAAAAACATTATCAGACATGCTGTGAAAATTCCTTGCTCGGTTAAACATAATTTGGGAAATATTTAAACAAAATAATAAAAAATTCAAAGGGGGGCTAATAATTCTGACTTCAACTGTATATGTAAATTATCTCACCGTGACACAGTGCATCTTCAGTTGGTGTGCAGTTTCTGAGCAGTATCTCTGTATCCTCTTCGCAGATTGTGCAGGGCATGCAGGGGTCCATCGTGTTCTCTTGATCAGAGTAGGTTTCATCCCGACACTCCTCACACACTGTGTCGTGGTTCAGTTCGCAGCGCATATCCACACCCTGACCCAGTGGACACACAGTGCAGGGCTCGCAGCGGCTGCTCAACACGTTCATGAAGTAGCCATAGTTGCACACGCACTCGGCGTCATTGGAGTCAGTGCAGGGCGTCTGCATTCTCATGAGGCCTGTGCACTCAGTACACACCTGGCATTTGTCTGTGTGACTGAACGTGGCAGAGAACGTCTCACCTGCAGAAAGAGAGAGATGGAGAAAATTATCAGACATAGTCATCAGGGATAGGGATACTGGTAACACTTTACAATAAGGTTGTCTGAGTTAATGAATTTACTAAAATGATCAAACTATGAACAATCCATTTGCTGTAGTATTTGTTCATGTTAGTTAAAGGTGCAGTATGTAAGTTTGACACCCAGTGGTTGAACTAGGTATTGCACACCTGGTTCAAAACACATGCAAGCGCAGGTTGCCAGATTGATGACATAAAGAGCAGCAGGCCTGACTATCGAGCCTAAAGGCTGATTTAAGTTGAGTTCACAATAAAAGCAACAGCATGTGATAGAAGGAATATTGTCATATTAATAGAAGTTTTTGCTCTAACAAACACCTGAAGTTTATTTTTATAAACAACTAAATAATCTGACAATGTTTACCTCAGGTACACCTCATGTACTTTATTCAGTGTTAAATGCTAATAATGTGAGTCTAAATGCCATTTTACATTATATTTATTGCTATACTACTGAAAGCAGCAGCAGATAGTTCACCTCAGATCTTTGAAATTGAACTTCAGAACTGTGACTCAGTGCAAGCCAAGACATATCAGTGATTCTGCATGTACATTTAATTATGTTAAAATAGTTTAATATGTATTAATGAGATTATAAACCTTACTATTTCGTTGGAGTGCAGTAAGTGCACTATTCTGTGCTTCTGAATGGCTGTATTTAAATTTCTGTCATATTTCGTCTGATGCAAACAGCCAAATTGCTTATCACAGCAAATCTGTAACCTGCTCACCTAATGTTTACGTTCATAATATTTATATTATTTGCTAATTAATAACCAACTCATGTGGAACTCTGAATCTGCATCTCATTTCGAAGTCTGCTACTATCCATCGAAGGTTGCATTTCGATCACAAACGCATAATTTAAGAGGCTCCATGACTGAATGTATGAAATATGATTTCCACCAAGTCAACCCAGGGTGTGGATATATAATTGGCTAAACTGGCATTGGGCGGGTTAAAGGGACCAAAACAAAGACAGCGTTCTGGCATGTAACCCACATTTTCAAAGCAGAGTATCTGACTTCAGAATTGTTTTTCAGTTAAACAAGAATGTTCACTTAGCATGTTTCTTAAATATCAGTATGTTTAGACCTTAGAAAAGTCAAAAACTTGCATCCAGTACCTTTTAAGAAAATACAGTTGTTCATTGTTAATTAATTTTAACTCTCGGTGCATTAACTAATGTAACAACCATGAATAAGGATTTTAATAATACATTAGTAAATGCTTAACTATGGTTAATAAATGCTGCACAAGTATTGCTCATTATTTGTGAGTAAATACATTAAACTTATTGCAAAGTGTGACTGGGATACTGTTTAACTCAGGAGGGGTGGGGAGGGGGTGTCCAACTTCAGAGCACCACTGCTCCGTTTCCCAAAAGAAAGAATGAGTCGTCAGTAATTCCAGTCACAAAACTACATATTTGTACCAAATTTACATAATGACAGACTAAAGTTGCCCAGAAACAATGCCTACTCTGACCCTTAAACACTATAGTTATATCTTAGACCTGAAGAGTTTGGTTCATGTTGTTGTTCAGGAGATGCAATTTTCTGCATTGCCAAAACCATCTTAATCAAACTTCCAAAGATTGTTATTGGTAAAATGATAAAGCCAAAAACATGTTTCTGTTCATTTCACAGTGCATTAAATCATTGGAGCTAAAATTTTGCACATTTGGTTTTTAAAATGTATTCAGTTGACCAATAACAGAAAGCCACTAGAGCACAGCCGACTCAGAGAAAGCACAGGCTTCTGATTCTTCTAAAAGATCAAATGCTACAATATATATTGTTTTTTAAATTGTTAATAATTTGGTTGGATGTAAATGTTTTGTAGGGGTTGTAAAACTGGAGACATTTACAATAGCATAATTTAGAAACTTTATTAATGATCACTTTGGGGAAATTTGATTATGTCTTTAGTGCTTTAATTATAATTAGTCACTGATGATGATTATAACAAGACACTAGTGGCAAAAAAAAGTTGAAAACAGTGAGGAGGCGAGGCTTTAAAAAAACAGACAAAAGAGGAAAAATTTGTAATCAAGGAAAGGAACAATGTGCAAGATTGAGTTATAGAGATCTCTCTTTCTGTGCGTGCGTGTGTGTAATGGCAATGATTCATGCAGCCTAAACACAAGTAGACCTGGCACAACTGTGTACATAATGCATCTCAGTTTACTGTACTTTATACTGCTTTCAACATTGAAATAACCTTCAGAATACTGTGCAGTCTAAGTGGCTGCATCAGAAAATAAATACTTTGCTACCATATAGAATACAATAAGGAGGTTTTCACAGTGATGCTGTTGAAGAATCATTTTTGCTTCTCCAATGAAGCGTTTAGTAAAAGGTTCCTCAAAAAATATTTGTCTTCATTGTGTGAAAAGAAAAGTTTTAAACTCTAAAGATGCTTTTTTTAAGGACTTTTAAAGAATTATTGATGCAAAAATAACATTTATTTATATTTTAAGAGTGCAGAATGTCCAAATTCATGCATCCAATTAATTGTATTTGCAAAATTGGAATTTGCATTCGCATAAAATAGAATAAAGCACTGTTTCCAAGCAAGCAGTAAACAGAACAAGCTGGTCACTTTCTAATAGACTGGAACCAAATATCAAAACAAAAATTTTAATTTTCTGGAAAGAAAAAGCCACTGTGGGCCTTTTTTTTCCAATTTAAAAAAGTACTTGCACTAAAACTTGCTCTTAAACGCAATGAATGTGAGTTGGCTTTTAGATGTTTGAGACCACTCTTTGGGACATCAGTCGCTCAAGAGTTCTATAAGATAAAAACAGTTTGATGACAGACTTTGGCTAAGGGATTTTGGAATGACCAGAACAACAATGTTGTGCAATGTGGTCAGTCCATTGGGTTGCCCATTAGTGCCATCCCATCATTCTCATTTTTGTTATCACACCATCTGAAAAGATGAAATAACATGACTTTTTTGATGTGCACGCTGTAATTTATCAGTAAATATGTTTCCATCATAGTTTATGTGTATTTTTTGTCATTGGGTAAAAAGTTTATGCAGCTTTGTGCAGTTTTTATGTGCATTTTTAAAATTCATAGCGTATAAACTTGCCATTTTTGTTAAGCATTTTTATGCAATATAAAAAAAAAAAACATTTTAAAAATAGGTGGATAAAAACTTGGCTAATGACAACGCAGGTCAGGATAGTACCTACTGAAGAGTTTGAGATTATGCAGTCAATCAGTATGATGTCATTTTCTTTGTTGACATAGCACACATTTCAGGTGATTAGCTGTGAGGAAACATGGCAGATTTTTAGTTGTGTCCCAATTCAGAGGGAAGCTGCACCCTTTAAAGGTCGCAGACTTCAAAGGTGAGTCCTTCAAAGTCCACAAAGGCCAAACCAAGCTGTGTGAAATGAGACATTCTAACCTGCAGTAACCTGCCCAATTAATGTGACATCTGTCGTTATCACTTTTTGCACACATCGCTTCTGAAAATAGTTCACCTAAAAATGAACATATACTAACAATCGATTTGTTATCAACTGGTTAAAATCTTAAATTGAAGTTTTTTTTCTTTCTTTCTGTTAAACAAACATAAAAAATAAACACAAAAATGTATTTTGAAGAATGTTGGTTATTATTATTAATACTGTTAACTGCTAACTATAACACCAAAGATACAATAGAAGTCAATGACTGCTGGATTATGTCTTTTTAAAATAGTTTTTTTTTTTTTTTCATTTTGAAGAGCTTTAATTGTGTGTAACATATTAAAAGTGATGATTTCGTACTTTGATAAAAGCATGTTAAACATTTAAATCATTTGTTTTGTTTTTTCATGGTTTTCAATGAGGGTCCAGAATGAAAGTGAAAGTGAGATATTTAAAGTTTTAAATCGTGATGTTGTCATGTATTTACAAAAAATAGCTATATGTTCATTCTTCTACAATCCACCAGAAATCTCTTCTTTTTGATTTGTAACAAGAATTTTGGAGTTTGAAGAGGGAAGTTGTGCTTTGTTCATAAAACTTGTTGACACTTAAATCATTTTGTCCCTTTTGCACTTGTTGTTAATGTATTTTTAAATTCAAAAGTGCATCCTATTATCTTTTTTTAATTGTTGACTTATGCACATACATGTTTTTTTTTTACATGTTTTAAAATGAATTCAATTGAATGTCAATTCAATTGTACCAGCATTGAACATTGATTAAAATTCAGATTTGGACTTTTAAATTGAGACTCAGTCCGAAGGCCTCAGTGAAAAACTCAGACTTAAAGAATACCTAAAAATTTATATGGTATGGTTTGCTTTTTGGTAACTTTTGACAGTAAAAACGGTCATGAAAGCGTACCGAACCGTACCATATCGTACCACCCAGTGGAAATTGGCCATTTGTGAAAAAAACCTTGCTTTAGATTAAATTAAAAAAAAATTACACATTAAAAAAACTTAAGAGTTCAGATGCAAAACCCTCTAAATCATTAAAGGTGTTCGAGCAAACTGAAACATTTAAAGGCATAGTTCACCCCTCAAAAAAATAAAATGACCTCATTATTTTCTCTCCCTCATATAGTTTTAAACCCTAATGAGTGTCCTTCTTCTGTTGAAAACAAAAAAAGATATTTTTAAGAACCAGCATTCTTTACAATATCTTTTTTGTTTTCAACAGAGGAAAGAGACTCAAATGGGTTTGTGGCAAGTAAAGTGTAAGTAAATGATGACAGAGTTTTTAGGTTTGGTTAAACCAATTCTGTGAGAAAGAACATTTCTAGGAGGATCCAAAACAATCCATATCCATTGTATTCTTCAATGTGCAGATACAAATGATGAATTTTGAGGCTTAAATTGAAGGAAACCTTGAATTGGGACACTCTTGGTCACGAGTCATGACAATGAGACATAATCAACCTTCAAATGCAGCTTTCAATGTATGCAGTCTTTGAA